AAGAGTTCGTGGGCATCACCCGTGGTGTTTGTGAAAAAGAAGGACGGAACCCTACCTTTTGCATCGATTATCACCACCTAAACAAAATCACAAAAAAATATGTCTATCCTCTCTCCCAAATAGACGATGCCTTGGATCGACTCCACAGCACGAAATACTTTTCCTCGATGGATCTTAAGACAGGCTACTAGCAAATCGAAATCGACGAGAGAGACCGAGAAAAAAACGGCGTTTATAACACTAGACGGCCTTTTTGAGTTCAAGGTCATGCCCTTTGGTTTTTGCTCGGCACCTGCGACTTTTTAACGTGTTATGGACACAGTGCTAGCAGGATTGAAGTGGCAGACTTGTCTCGTTTACATAGACGACGTCGTGTTTTCCTCAAGCTTCGACGAGCCTCTTCGGCACCTTGAAACTGTACTTCAAGCCATCAAGACTTCCGGAATCACCCTGAAGCCAGAAAAATGCCGCTTTGCTTTCAGAGAACTTTTGTTCTTGGGCCACGTGATAAGCGAATCCGGAGTAAGACTTGATCCACAGAAGAGAGCCGCCATTGCTGCATTTCCGCCACCCTCCGTCACAAAAGGCCATGCGTCGATTTCTCAGCCTGTGCGCCTATTACAGGCGCTTTGTCAAAAACTTTTCCCCATCACCGAGCCACCTTACGAAAATTAATGTGAAGTTCGAGTGGGAAACCTCACAGGAGGAAGCATTTGAAAACTAAAACAACGCTTACAGACGCCTCTATTACTCGCGCACTTCGATGAAAATGCCGAAACAGAAGTGCAACTGACCCAAGCAGCGTAGGACTTGGCGCCGTCCTTATGCAGAAAACTGACAGACTGTCAAAGCTTATTTGTTATGCTAACCGCTCACTACCAAGGCTGAAAGCAATTATTCCTCAATAGAAAAGGAGTGTCTCGCCATCATCTGAACGATGTCAAAGTTTTGTCCTTACCTCTACGGCAGGGCCGTCAAAGTTGTGAGCGACCACCCCACATGAAGGACCCTTCAGGTGGCCTTGCGCGATAGAGCCTGAGACTTCAAGAATACGACACTGCCGTCATTTACAAGTCCAACAGAAAGCACTCCGATGCCGACTGCCTGTCATGAGCCCCCGTCGACCCACCGCCGCCCGAAGACCTGAATGACGACTGATTTTTGGGAACGATAACGGCCGACGACTTCACTGAATGCCAGTGGGCTGACCCGGAACATAGGGGCCTAATCGAATACCTTGAGGGCAGGACTTCAATTGTTCCGAAGGTATTCAAAGGGGCACTTACGTCATTTTCACTGAGAAATGACCTTCTGCAAAAGAACCTCTTACCACTTTGAGACAAGTACCTTCTTGTGGTGCCTTTAGCTCTGCGACCAGAACTCCTCCAGGCCCTGCACGATGATCCAATGACAGGACACCTTGGTATTTCGTGCACACTCGCAAGGATACAAGAAAGGTACTACTGGCCGCGCCTTACCGCTGACGTCGCTCTTTTCATGAGGACATGCTGAGACTGTCAGGGATGGAAACACCGCCGACAAGGCCAGCAGGCTTTCTTCAGCCAATCGAACCACCTCGCCAACCATTCCAACAAATCGGGATGGACCTACCGGGGCCATTTCCGACGTCGAATTTGGGAAACAAATGGATCGTTGTAGCTACCGACTACCTCAACCGCTACGCCGAAACAAAGGCCCTCCCCAAAGGTAGCGTCAAAGAGGTAGTTAAGTTCTTCGTTGAGAATATCGTCCTTCGTCATGACGGCCCAGAGGTTGTCATCACCGATAAAGGTACGGCCTTTACTGCTGATTTGACTCTAGCGATCTTGAGACATAGCCAGACAAGCCATGGCCGCATCACTGCCTACCACCCACAGACAAATGGTCTCACCGAGCGGCTAAACAAGGCAATTTCCGACATGCTGGCCATGTACGTCGACGTCGAACACAACACGTGGACGCCATCCTTCCGTACGTGACCTTCGCGTATAATACGGCCGTCCAAGAAATGACGCAGATGACACTGAACAAGTTGGTCAATGGAAGGAGTTTGGCAACAACCCTCGACGGTACGCTTCCAAACTTCGCTGACAAAGAGAACCTCGACGTCACCAATTACCTTCAGCAAACGAAAGAAGCTCATAAACTCGCCCGCCTGCGCATCAAGAATGAGAAGGTGACCGGCAAGCGCCATTACAATCTTCGACGAAGCTTCATTGAGTACCAGCTCGGGGACCGTGTCTGGGTATGGACGCCGATACGCCAACGTGGCCTCAGTGAAAAACTTCTGTGATGGTACTACAGACCATACAGAGTAGTTAGACGTCTCGGCCCGCTTGACTACAAGGTCGTTCCTAACAGCATTACGAACTCGTCAACGCGCCATGCTCGACCTGAAGTCGTCCATGTCGTGCGCCTCAAGCCATTTCATGCGCAAACCTGACGACTGCATTTTGTTGTTGTTGCTGTATTTATTGTTTATTGTTTTTATTATTGTACCTTCGTCTTTTGTTAAAGCATCGGGACAATGCCTTTTTCAGAGGGGGGGCAATGCCACATTCCTTTCCTTAAGTTTTTTTATCGCTCCGTTACACTACGTTCACCACAAACCGCACCTATGATGTTCGAGAAGCTTCGAGGCTTCATTAGATCATTTTGTTGAGATTACGCCCACTTCGAGAATGTAACAGATTATTCGAGAACCTTCGATGGCAAGGATATTAATGCTGACACGATTATCAATAATAGAATAGCATAGAATATTAAAATAGAATAGAATAGCAATAGAATAATAGAATGATAGAATAATAGAATATAATGGCAATAAACTGTTACAGTGCAGTCATTCAACCATTACCTAAAAAAGTGTTGCACAGCCATTTTGATGTCTACAACGATGCGCCACCTTTGTTTGCCTAGAACCAGCAGAAGAAAAATTGTTGGAAGCAGTACTCTTTGAGCAGAGCCTTTAAATTGTGAAGCCACGCAAATAAAAATATAAGAACAGATACAAGCAAACTAACCTATTCTTTAAGGGGAAAAAAAATTGAAATAGAAACTACGGTGTGCAAGGGGTCGGTACAGGGAACAGATTTACCACTGATGGTGTGTATATGCAAAAGCTTTCATGCGCCTGCTCATAATCTAAACAAATTAAACTGTTCCGAGCTAAAATATTCAGAGAAAAGAAAGCCACCATGTTGCTAGTGTTGAAAAACTTTCCACACAATTTTCCAAGATGTCACTAGGTATATGATCAAACTTCTTTTTTGCCGAGCTAAAGGAATGTAAAATTTTAACTGGGTCTATTACAACTAGGTAAATTATAACTGGGTCGTGAAAAGAACATCAGCTGCCCAGTTATAATTTTCACTCGCTCAAGAAGCATCAGGCACGCCACTCCCTAAACATTTTGGAGCAATATATTTAGTCTATATTTATAACGCCCATTCGCCATCCGACAATTAATGACTCCTAAACCAACAATGCAGCACCACCAGCCACCATGGGGACAAACTAGGTGACATCATCTTAAGACATTTGAAATCATAAGCACACTACTAAACTTTGTTTGCTTTAAAATTATAGATTTACATGGAAGCTAGGAAGTAATAAATATGGCAAGTTTTTAGTTCACAGTATCACTCAAACCTGGGAAGTTGTCAGCATTCTTACACAGGAGGAGGAATACGAGAGATGTTATAACAGCACCTGCCCCGCGTTCTAGTGGTTTACGACAGATCACGCGCTCCTTATCGCTCTATCAGTTCAGGGTGATTCATAAGGGCAAATGCAGTGAACACTAATTGTGTAACTTTGTATAGCAATAAAATTATTTTCGCATGATTGGCAAGTTGTGTCTTTCACCGTCTTTAAAGGCAGAAAACGAGTATCATTCCCAAGAAGACTTGCACTCTGTCTGGCAGTGCAAGACACAATATATTTTGCCCATCACAGATTCGCAAAACTATCTTTGCCACAAGAAGCCACGCGAAAGCAACACACGTGAACAAGCACTAGCAGAGAAGTATTCACAACTGCACGCAATGTGTGTGAACAATGGCCATCCATAGAGTAGCAGTAACCCTAGGCCCGAACTTACAGCACTACCTCTTCGAGGTTGGCTAAATACACAATAGCATTAGCACTATAAAGTGCTGCCGTTGAGAGACCCTTGATACTTGCAACAAGATGGAAAGGTGGGCTAGTTGGTAATTCATGATGGTTCAGCGAACTGGGAGCGCGGGGGTAAACACAGACACAAAGCAAAGAAGAGGCACACAGCATGAGCGCTCATAGAGGCACACAGCATGAAGAAGAGGCACACAGCATGAGCGCTCATGCTGTGTGCCTCTTCTTTGCTTTGTGTCTGTGTTTACCCCTGCGCTCCCAGTTCGCTGAACCCTTGATACTCCTTTACCGTGGTAACATACGAAGATGCAGCTTGGGAAGGTTGAACGGTTCGAAAAGCTTGTATGCCTAATATCATTACGCGCCACAGTTGCAATACGATGTCCCGAACCTCAGTAAACTACGGTTCAGCGGGCCTCACCACATCGCCATGAACTGTCAGCAAAAAAAACTTTTTATTAGCTGAAAAGACGATGAATGTGAACAATTCAGTTGAGGGGAGCGTGCACTGTAAAATCAAAATTGTGCTTTTTTAATCATTTTTTAAATGAGCGGTCAAGATTCCAAGTACACACGTAGCTAAAATTATCTGAAAACGATCTTGGGAGGCATATACTGCTGGGCTAGTTATAGACCACTGCTTTGGTGCGAACAGGATGCAGAACACATTGTTATGCTGTGGCGATGTAGTCCATGACATCATCTTTTGTTTTGCTGGAAACTCACATGTGTAACTGGTGACACAGTTGTTCCATTGCAAGGGTCTAGTTACCTTTTGCAGTAGTACGACTATTTTCATTAACAAATAGATCAAAATAATAAACTGTTCTCAAAGGTCTTATATATAAGGCAATGAAAACAATACACACCTCAGAGACAGGTGCTTCAGCCTGTGGAATCTCCACACAGGGGGACTCCTGCACTTCCTGTTCAGGCAAATGCGAGTTGGAATCTCCAGCATCCTCACAGGCCTTGAAGTAATCGTGGTCAAGCAGCACCAAAACGTTTTCTTCCCCGTCATTTGATACACAATGCAAGTTGCACGTCTGTTGGTTTGGCAAGAAGATGGGAGACCGAGATTTTCTGCCAATTGCAAGTGTCACAAGTTCCTCACACTCTTCGGTCGTCAGCTCTGGCGTACAAGGAAAAGGCAGCTTATACTCGTGCACAAGAAACGCTTGGTGTTTGCAAAAGCCACCCTGGATGCCTGGCCAGCAGGTGCAGAGGCCCATGTCATAGTGTATCGTGCATTCTCTGCGGTTGTGGACATTCCTGAAGGAGAACTCGTTTTCACCATCCTTGTGAATGACCGACCTGCCCAGGGAAGCACCCGTCGTCTGGCTGCTAAGAAGCCTTTCAAGGCTTGTCAAACAAGAGCCTCCCCACTGGTGGTCGGCATAGGAGATGGGGCGGCTATGCTGCAGAATCCTTGCTTTCAAGTATGCCTCACACTCGGTGGCAATAAAGTCCAGTAATGCCACTGCATTATATAGCAGCATTTTGCTCAGAAGGACGTCCTTGAGGATCCGTACGGAGACTTCAGAATAGGCAGCCACATCCCAGTTCTCTGCAGTGAGATTGACACGACTTGGAAGTGACCACTCCCTTTCACGAGCGAAGAAAGCCCGAAGCTGCTCCATGTAGACTTTATGGTTGCATCGACACAGCTCCTCCTTGGCTCGTGTGAGTTCTTCGTGTGACTTAGCATTTAGGACCTACAGGCACAGAGAGGTGCAATAGTATCCAATTATTGATGAGAGCATCATCTGTTATATAAAATGACATTTGTAACATCTGCCAATCAATGTATTATCATTAAAAGCTTCAAGCTTATAACAATGCTTGACTGGAGCAATGTGATTAGGTCACAGTGTATAATGCAAAATGTTGCTAAACAGTGATATACACAGCTGCTCTATGGAGCAATGGTTCCCGTAAATTGAGGCTCTGGCAGCTTCTGTTGTCCATTCAGATAGTATTAATAGTAGTCATTGCTGAGGTTCAACGTCCCAACACCCCCATATCATTATGAGAGACGCCGTAACTAAAGGGTCCAGAAATTTCTACTACGCAGGGTTCGCACTCCTAAATTTAAGTACATGAGCCTCAAGCATATTCGCCTTCATCGAAAATGTGGCCGCTGTTGCCAGGATTCGAACCTGTGACCAGTAGGTCAGCAGTCGAGCACTTTAACCACTAGATCACCGCAACGGTTGTCTATTAAAATAGTCCCCTTCAGGAGACAATAAATTCAGTCAAGAGTAAAATTTTTTTGCCACACTTCTAGCGTAATAAAAATCAAGAATATTATACTGCTTTAAAACATATTAAGATGATTCTATTTGTCAGGAAGGTGAACTATCAAGCAAGAGTTCACTACCCTTGCTTGATACTGTGGGAATCGAGAGCACCCTCCTACCGGGCGCCTCGTTCCCCAGCTGCCGCGCGCGCGCCGACAGCGTAGCCCGGGCGCGCATAAGCACCGGCATCCGCCAAGATGGCTGCCAGGGCGCCTCTTGGTCTGGGCGAGTCAAGCCTCGGCTCCGTCCCGCGCTGGTATGTCCGGGCACGCAGCGCTGCGCGGGCACGCAGCGCTGCGCGGGCCTACGTCACAACGCAGCGCCATTTCCCATTGGGCTGCGCGTGACATCCTCCTCTCCTACGAGCTATGTTGCGCCCGACGATTCGCTCGTCGCGGCAGATGCTCTCAGGCCTCCACGAGAGGTTGACGCGCTGCTCAGCAAGCGGCTTCTCGTTCGTGCGTTCGACTTCGGCCCTTGTGCGGGAGTCGTCGCGCCCTAGGCAAGCGTACTTGCTCGGTCTTGCGGAGTTCCCTATATGGCCTGCAAGCCCGTGAGTGTCGCACTGTGCTGCAATAAACCCGTTGTTGTTGTTATCCTGCCTCGTGCATGGTTTCTGCGCCGTGCCAGAGAAATCGACGAACCCGGCCGCAGCGTCCTTGCACGCAGCGGCAGTGGAGGACGTCGCATCCCTACATGGTTGCGCTTAGTAGGTAAGCCTTGTGCAAACATATCTCCACAATACTCTTACCTGATTATATAGTACTTGTAGTGAACTATCAAGCAAGAGTTCACTACAAGTACTATATAAGCTAGCAATAACTTCTACTACAGCTTCTCAAAGAATATCTTGCCAGCCAACTGCACTTAAAACAGTGTCCTATTTCTCCTTTTGGTATTTTATACACAAGCATGTAAGCTGCGTCAGACTATTATGCCGACTGAATGCGCTATATGCATTCTTAAATGCAAGCTGTTCTACTTTACCAGTACACCTCCGAAGATTACGAAATAAGTATAACATGATTGTGCTGTTATATTTTGTCCTAAATAGAGCAAACAATGCTTTTTACTTTTTGTGGTGGAGTTTTTCAGACAGTTTTTAAAAACTGTTCTTTCCCATCCCTTCTCATTTTCCTATGCAAAAAAAGTTAAAAATGAACGAAATAAAAGCTTCACTGACTGATAGAGCTCGCAAAAACATGTTCAACACATGAACATTTATTTCATGCCTAACACATTTGCAAAAAACTTAATCACCGCCTTTAAAATATGCCTTATCTTCGAATGTTGTCAAGGACAATAAAAAAAAGATTAGCATGCTATGTGTCAACGTACTGACACTGGCAGCAAGTATTCATAGACTTATCGTCTAGCAACTTCTTTTCCCTGAAGGATTTATATACAATGCAGTCCACTTATAACACTGCTGAGGAAACCTGAAAATATGATCGTTATAACCGATGATCCTTAAATCTGGACTGTCACCGAATGTACCTTTCGTCACCGAATGTACCTTTCGTAGCTACAGGCTCGAATTCACTTTTTCTACCAGTGACAGATGATGTAGATTAAAGGCTTAAAAAAAAAAAACTTTATTTTATACTCGGAAGAGCGTTTATGGCTTCGGTGTGATAAAGTAGCCTGATATCCACAGTTGCTTGCACGGAAGCTTCAGCTTAACAAGCGTGGTTCGCATAACAAGCGCGGTTCGCATAGCTTAAAGCTGTTGTGGATACTCTGGCAGCAATTCTCGGACACGCATAAAGTCTACTAGCGCGTTGATCGACACCAGTGCACTTTGTGTGGTCATTGACGGGGCCGGAGAAGCGCTGTGACTATTGACCTTGTTGTCACTACTGTCACTGCTGCCGTCGTCTGTCACGACATCACATCCGCGACAATTGCCTCGTTGATGAGCTCCTTGCAGCACGGCAGCACTGTCTGCTGTGAGAAAGTCCTGAACCGACGCGACACACCCGCTATCTGTGTAACCAGTAGCAATGTGCTCCTAAAGCTCATCGAGATCCGTGGTTTGCAAGCAGGTATCGCAGTGATTAGTTGGGGGAAGCTGGTCCTGGCACACAAAGCCTGCTTTCCTGAAGCAATTTTGTATAGTGGTCTGCTTCACCTCGTACCACGCGCCATAAATAAAGCGCACGGCCAATAGAAGGCTGATCTTCAAGTCAGGGAGTCCCGTCTGCACTGCCTGACGTACCGGTAGCCAAGCGGTCAATCGCTAGCACCAGCCACTCGAGCATGCGCCGCTGGTGCAGCGCTTTAAAATTTGCTATCATGCCAGCATCTAGCAGTTGCAAGCCTGCCACCGTGTCAGGTGGCAGGAACAGCAATACTATTAACGCGATAGCATTACAGAGCTCGTGTCGCTGAAATTCCGCCGTCGGAGTCGGCACCGATGATTGGGAGTGAAAAATCAAGAAAGAAGCAAATAAAATAGTGAATAAAATGTTCCCTCCCACTGAGGATCGAACCCGGGCCGTTTGCCTGACAAGCAGAAAAAAACACTACATAAATGCCATGTAGTGGAATGAATCTCCTTAATGCATTTTGTTCGACAGGTGTGACAATGAAAACGAGCCCATTCAACGATTTGTAGGCGCATTTGGGAGGCCATGAAACTACGCCGAAAAAAGCTGGGATAGCGCACCCATCGCCGCTAAAAACAAACAGGAGCTTTCGACCAGCTCTAAAATGGACAACTATGTCCATCTAGTGGAAAACATATCATGCCTTTCCAGATGTATGAATCAAGCAAACAGCAAACGCTAGATAATGTGCTGTCATATGTGAGGCATTGTAAGACTCTTTACGGCCTCTAGGATGGCAAGTGCGCGGCGTGTATCTTGAAGACCATGCAACTCTTGCTTTAGATCAAAAACCTGTATGTACCATTTGCACACACGCACCGGTACAATTGTGCGTTTGTGTGTGTAACAAAAGATATTAATAAGTATGCACTTAGCAGTTGAAGGGCACACTAGGGGCCGGATTTCGCTATCGCGTTCCACTCTCACAGGCGAAGGTTAAGGGTTCCCCAGTTTTTTTTGTCAGCTTTTGGCTCACATTGTGTGCGCTGCAGTTAGTTATCCAGCAGCAACACTACCTTCTGCCCTGGCTTTCGATGACACTGTCCATCTCGAGCAGCCACTCCTAACAACACGCTGGTCAACCAGGCCTTCTTATTGCTATGGTAGCGGACCGGGATGTGCTGATTTTCGAAGCAGACAGGTTTCTTGGATTGCCCAATTACGAAGGACTTCATCCGATGACTGCCATCCATGTTCACTGTTCACGCAGAGCAATACGGTCACTCAAACTTTGGAGTGCTTTTCGCCAGGACACGGATCCCTTCTCAGAGATGCGTCTTCGATGGTATCATTTAAAAAAAAGGGGGGCAGTCTCGTCAGAGTTATAAATATCTTTGCCTGACAAGCGCTCCATAAGGGCAGGCAGTTTTGTCTGCAGCCAATGCTGCTTCGTTTGGGAGTCTAGCAAAGCCGCTGCCCCCACCACATTTTTGTAAAAAAATTCTATGCCGCTCTTTGAACTTTTGTATACATCCGCCTCCAGGTTCGAAAACCAGCCGACCAAGCAGAAAAGTGAGATTTTCCACCTTTGTGGCAAGTATAGGCCCACTGATCGGCACATTCTGTGAACGGATTGTCAAAAACCATTGGTAAATTGCCTCTTCCACGTCCGCATACAAAGGCCCCCATACCCTCTTCTGCTCGTTGGCACGGCCGCTGGATCCAGTTTTCAAAAGTGCAGTGCTGCCGGCTTTTATGATTGTCAATATCGTCAACTGCACGAGCTCAAATTTTTTCACAAGGGTGGTCATCTTGAATTCTTGTCGAGAGTCCTGTAAAATTTTCAACTTTATGTCAAGCGACACAGCCTTACGCTTTTTCGGCGCCATCTTAGCTGAAGCTTAGCTCCGCCCGTGCAGCTCACGCGATGTGATCGCTGAAAAGGAGAGATTGGTTCAGTCCGGTTGGTATGGGCGGAACTTTGCTTTTCACTTTTTTTTTTTGCTCTCTCTCCTTTGTTGCGGGCACGATGTTGGTCGCGGGGATCCGCGGTGCAGCTTTGCTTTTTGCATTTTTTTGTCTAAGTCTCTATCCATGCTCTGCGCCACACTCAGTGTGCCGCGGCAACTCGCAATGTTCTCTCCGGCTTTCGAAATGGGCAGGACACGCCGACGGCGCTGCTCTGCATTGGCGATAAATACGAACTCGCCTACGCTAACATTCGTCATGTCACATTCGTTTCAGTGGAACTTGTTCATGTAAATGTTACGATTATTCTGGAACTTGCCATCCAAACGGCCAAATTTTCATTGTATCCGATATGCAGTGAATGATATATCGCTATATATGGTTTTTTTCCCCATAGCT